ATTGGTAAATCCTTACTCAGGATGTTGCTGTACCTTACATATGCTGGGTTGTCAGAAAAGTCATGATGTTTTTGTTTTATGCAAAATGTCATGACTTTTCCGACAACTTCTAGTAAATGCCTTCAGATACTGGTCCACTAGATAAGTGAAGTCATTTTCCCCTTTGCTATTACAAGCCCATTTTGTTTATTTTGAAGATAATATTTTAATCCTTCAATTATAAAAGAAAATTATAGCACTGGAAAATTTTCTCTTTATGGAGAATAACATGAACAAAATTTACAGACTTAAGGAATCATTTCGGGAATTGTTGGAAGGTGAGTTATTTTGTAGTAACTATGCTTCAGTTGCCGTGCTGTACGCCCAGAAACTATCCATTTCAACTTCTGAACATTTGGTTTGGAACATTTGTTTGATGAATATTCAGTTAAACACTTGGATACAAGTTCTTGCCAGAAGGTCAAATCTCTGCCATTTATCTGCATAAATTTTAAAAAAAATCAATTAAAAATAAAAGTCCTACTGTATTTAACTACAATAATAAATGCATCCTATCAACATGTGTCCTTCCTCATCAGAAAAGTTGAGGATAGTTACTTAAGTTTCAAATAAACACATGCCATCTCCTTTTACCTTAGGAGACAGTATAAGTGGTTTAGTTTCTTTGACAGCTGTCAATAGGATTTACACTATGACCTTGACATACCTTGGAATGTTTTTGAAGACATTCTATTCCTTCTGTTAACTCTACACACTTTTGTGCTTGGATCTCCAATGCAATAATAGACAATGCCAACACAGAAGGCTAAAAGAGATAAAGTAAATGTCAAATATAAAAATAGGTCTGCATAAATAGGCTTAATATACAAAATATTTACCTTTGCTTTAGAAAACATGATCCTACAGTGACATGCCTTAAGTTGAGCTTCTAGTCTTTCAAAATTAAGGTTGTTTCTCCTTTAAAAAAGAAAATGGAATTAATTTTATGTAAATATTACATCTAGTCAAGGAATATTTTTAGAAAAACCCTTAAGTTATTTTCAGAGTGAATCACAGGGGACCAGAAGTTGGCTATGTCCCTGGACTCCCATGTAGTCGACCACGGTTTGAGTCTTGTATCTGGTGGCTTCAACTCAAGCCAGGCGCATGTGCATGTATATGTGCCTGTCCAAGATACCCAGAGGAGAATGGAGGAGAAGGGATTGCAGCATGGTCACCCCCGCCCCCGGGGGGTGATTTCTTACTTTCTGCCTCTGGCTTTCTGGCAAGCGCAAAAATCTCTCCAAAAAAAAAAAAAGGTGAATTATGGAAAGTAAATTATCAGAGTTAAGGAATTCCCCTTTGTCACAGACATTAACTTCCCATTTTTCAAATACAATATTCCATCTGATATATATGAAAATTCATACTGAACAATGAGTTCTGGGTTGCAAAAGAGGATTTTTTTTTTGTACCTATCTGTAAGTCTATATCAACTAAATAAAAACAGACACAGTGCTACAGAGATCTATCCATTTGTGGCATGATATCATACTACAAATATCAAAATATTTTTATTTTAATAATTCTGCATCTACAGAAGGTCCTATTTGTTTTGGATACTTATCCACTAGATTTTAAGAAATGTTCTTTTAATCCAAGAAAAAAACAGCTATTGACAACAAAAAGTCTTCTCCTGGACAGTAAAAATCAAGGAGCCACAGCTATCATTTTAGTTACTTTGTTTAGATTCTATGAGAACACTGATTTTATGCAAGATGTAGACAATTTTCTGAAATTTTTTTTTAAGAGAGTTCTTTTTGCTTTAGGGTGCATGTGCTCACTGGCAACAGACAGAAATCAGCCCCTGGAGGAATGGCCATGCTGCAATCCCTTTTCCATTCTCCTCTTGGGCACACATGCCTGGCATGTTTTAAGCCACCGGGTCTAGGACTCAAAATGTAGCCAACTATGTGTGTGTCCAGCAACATAACCATTATGCCATCTGCTGGTCCCTATAATATTCTGATTTCTAACCTTTTCCATTCAAAATAAAGGTCACATACCTTTCAAATGGCAAGTTCTCTTGAATGAGTGAATAATAGAGTTGCAGAAACTGAAAGGCAGTAGTAGCTTTGACTTTCCAATACACCTTCTCCAATACAATCTTCTCCATTCTCATCAAATCTGAAACTGTGAACCTATATTGACTAATTCGAATCAAGTCAGTTGCCAGTGGGACATTCCTCTCATCTTCTACTGATTTTACAGCCAAATAGAAGCAACTCAGTCCAACACAACCAAGGTGCTTGGGTTGTACCTATAACAAAAACAATCATAAAACAATATACCAAGTGCCTACCTCATTCCTATTAACAAAACATAAAATGCAACCTAGAACTCAGATCCATCATTACAAAAATGTGTACTTGAGGTTTACAAGCAGTCTTCAAAAAGTACATGGGAAATACATATGAAAAAATTATGCATGGATGTCTATCTTTTGCATCAAAATAAACTCACATTTCAATTCCATTTGTCTTTTTTTTTTTTTTTTTTTTTTTTTGCCATAACTCCTGTATGCTCACCAGAGCGGGAAAGTAAGAAATCACTCCCAGAGGTATGGCCATGCTGCAATTCTTTCTTTTCTACTCTCCTGGGATTTCAGCACAGACATGGGCCCTGAGTGATTTTCAAGCCACCAGGTCCAGGACTTGAACCTGTCGGTCATGGGGTGTCTAGCACTTTTACCATTACACTACTGCTGGTCCTTCCATGAACTTTTAATAGTCCCCTCACACTTGTACTTGTCAGCAGTGATGGACTTAAGATCCACGTACACCTAACTGCAGCTTGTCAATCCCATGTATACTACCTCAAACCAATTTTGGCAGTTGGATCTGTAGTATAATGTTTGCCTTCGGCATAGAGAAATTCTTTTTTTTGGAGGGGGGCTCTAGGGCACATGTGGTCGCCAGATAGAGAAAGTGAGAAATCACTCCCCAGGGGGATGACAACGCCACAATCCCCGCTCCTCCATTCTCCTCTCGGGAGATTAGGAGATTAGGCATGCACCCACATGCGCCTGGCGTGAGTTTAAGCCACCAGGTCCTGGATTTGAACCACGGTTGACTATATGGGAGTGTAGCGACATAGCCATTACATCATCTGCTGGTCCCCAGCAGAGAGAAATTCTTACTGTCTCACAAGAGTGATAAAAGTAGAAATGTAATAAGCACTAGTTCTACTTTGACCAAATCAGTTAACTGGTCAAGGACTTAATATGAGGAATGAAAGAAACACCCTACAGGCTAACTCATAAAATTTCTTTTCCCAGGCTGTTTTCTTTATAGTAGCATATATAAAACAGGTTTTAAACACTATGCCACATATTACTTGCTGTATAGTTCTGTCCACCACCAATCTTTTTCATTTACTTAACATTTTCTAAATGACCACAGTATGAGGGAGTCAAAATTCTATCCAGTGTTTTCATTCCAGCTTAAACGAAACTTTTAAGATGCTTTGCCAATATATGTACACTCTTGTAACCCCTTCAGCAGTATATTTATGCCTCTTAAACAGTCTGGTGTAATTCCTTTTCTTATGGTTTGTACTATATGATGGTTGGGTATAACCATCTTATTCCCACACAATACTTCAGGGACGGCTGTGTATTAGTACTTTGTGCAACATTTACAAGATTCTAAAGTAGTGCCTACATATGGTAAGAGTATAAAAGTTGTTTAATCAGCTCACTGAATAAGTATCTCAAACCATTCAATTCAATTACTGACTTCCTCCTATATAGGATCCACTGTATGCAGTACTGAGAACTAATGATTTTCATTCTACATTATCTCATCCTCCAGTGACCATGGGCATACAAAGGCAAATAGAAATTTAACAGTTAAGCTCTGAAAGTTACATAAAGATTTATCTAATACAAAGAGATAATTACACAAATTCTCTTCCTTCAGAAGATACTCCTTTCTCAATGTCTAGAGATTAAAGCTGGAAAAGCCAAGTGCAAGCAAGACTGACTAGGTCTAAGGCTAAAACAGTAAGATCTTTATATATAGGTGGTGATTAACACATCCTAATTATTAACATCTTAGCATTCGGCCTCTAACAAATTTCCTTACATTTAAAAAATATAATGGAAATAGCCAGAAACCTCCAGAAAGGTTTTAAAAATTAGCAGCCCCAACATTCCTACTGGTAGACTGCAATTATTGGATATTAGACTATTTGTCACCTCGGAATTTAAGGCTAACAAACGATGCATTTATTAATGCCATAGAATACAAAATTACCACAGTGTTTTGACTACTTGTCAAAAGTAAAATAGATCAAGTTTCTGAGTACCAACCTAAAGCTAACAGTTCCATCTCCAAACCACATTGAACAAAAATACATAATCAAGGTAATGTAGTTTCAGACATACCTTCATTTTAGACAGGAATCTGTCCAGTAAATTCACAGCTAGAGAAAATGTCTCCGTGTCAAAGCCAAAGAACTGAGTTAGACTAAGGAGATCTTTTACTTCAAAGTCCCTTAGCCTTGCGGTCATTCTGAGGCCATTATCGTGTGCAGACTCAATTAGTCTCAAGCCACAGACCTTTGGCTGACATCTAGACTCCTGTTCCAACAGGGCATTCAGCTGGTGTAGCAGTTTCTGAGAGTCAGTTGTTGTCAGAACCTCTATCATCTATATATAGAACAGAGCACAGAGAGGAGTGTTAGCAGCAGTCTTTCCTGCTCCCCCTGGCCATCTTTGTATTGTATTGTGCCAAGAAATTCTTTAGAACACAAGTCTCCCCTGGGGCTGGTGAATCTAAGTCGCTGCACAGCGTTGTTATTTTCTCTCCCTTCTACAAGTTGGTCACATCTTAAATCATGACTTCATACAAGACAGGAAAAACGCCTTAAAAAGTGCAAATCTTCAAGAAATACTTGTTCCAGTTATTATCAATGGATAACTATAAGTAAACACGTGGAAGAGGATACCAAAACTGCGATCAGACGGTACCATGTATTCTGTCATCTACTAACAATGGGAACTGTTCAGGGTTACTTCATCTTTTCTACGTTCCTCTTCTGTAAAGTGGGATAAGGTAATTACCTACCACACTTGTGTAGGTTAAACGAAGTCACTTAAAGCGCTTAGCACATACGGTGGGCTTTGCTTAATAAACACTGGGCAATAATAATGGGCTTATTTCGACATCTGTAAAATGAGTTTAACAATATCTGTGTCTAAGCCGCAAAGACTAAACAAGGTGATTCATTTCAAGAGGATAGCTCAGTGCCTGGTACACCGTACTCAATAGTAGTTAATTTTTATTGATGTTTAATACAGGAAACTAAAAGGGTGCTATGGGAGCACATAGTGGGGCAGGGCCTAACCTAGTCTGCAAGGTGAATCTGAAAATTCCATTCATCTAAGCGTACATATCTTCATCCCGAGCAAAATCTAAGCCCTGGATACATTAGGGTTGGGCAAGTAAGGAACCACTAACTTCACGGCTCCTCTTTCGCCCCCGGGACTGTGCTGGCAAGACACTAAGACACCAAGACACCCAGAGGGATGGATCCGGCTCCGCCCCTCCAGGCCCAGACAAGCCCAGGCTTGTGCTCAAACCAGAGGAAGCGTTAAATCGACGAAAAGGGCGCCGGCCAGACCCTGCACCCCCAGCCCTGGTCTCCAGCCTCACCCCGCGGATAACCCCCCAGTCTCAGCTCACCTTGATAGTGACTGCAGCTTCTCAGCAGTAATCACCCTCCCCGGGCCTGCTCTCACCTCACCCCACGATATCAGAACCGAGAGGCCTGTAAAGCGAGGGGACTCCGGGGCGAGAGGAGAGTGGCCCGGGGAGGGTGAGCCGTCCTGGCTGGAGGTCTCCGCAGCGCCGCCGAGACGACACTGCCCAAACCAGGGTCAGCTCGGAGCCAAAGGGGCCGCGCCTGGCCTCCGGAGAAATATATTGGAAGGCGGGGCTTTCCCGCGGGGAGGAGCCCTTTGCTGCTGATTGGTGTAGGGTTTTTGATAGATGGGCCCCACCGTCCAAAGAGAGCGAATCCATGGAGAGGAAAAGCCGGGCCAATCAACTCTCACTTCCCATTATCCAGAGTCAAATTCTCCGCCCCTGGAGGCCACACCCCTACCTCTCAGCGATTGGAGAATTGTACAAAGTGTCTTCATTCAACAGAGACCGAGCTAAATACTCTGCGCACCAACCCCTGCCCGAGTCAGGTCAATCTGCCATCAGCCGGATTGGCTAGGATATCGTACCAGAATGTACTGGGAGTTTTTGTTCTGCGCGGTTTAGTAGTCGTTCAGTGGTTCTGTACAGCCCCCTCTTTTTAAAAATACAGTGACTAGTTAAAAAAAAAGTCAAGCTTTGATTTTTCATTGCTGATAGAGAGGCGGTATATTTTCTATGGTGCGGTTTATTTAATTCCAGAGAATTCATTTCATGAGCATAGGATATCAATTGGGCCTTACCTTATTTTGCTGTGTGTATAATTTATCCAATAATGGAGTTGAACTATGTAATTTCCTGGTCTTCTACTAATTTTTAAAATTTGCTCTTTATATAAATTTATATAGAAAAGGTAGTACAATTTTTCAGTTAAGATAAGGTGTGTAGGACTGGTAAGAGGACTACATGGTAAACGTAATTGTAGTGAATATGAATCTCAGACTACAGACCATGATATGAAAAAATGTTACTCCCCTTTTTTCTTTTTCTTTTTTTTCTTTTTTCTTTTTTTTTTTTTAGGTTTATTCATTTCTTGAGAGAGAAAGGCATTCCCAAGAGAGTCTTCATGTTGTGATCTACCCTCTGCTTCAGCCAGCCTGGGTCACAGCACAAGAGAACCTGGGACTTTCCCATGTGGGTCCAGTTGTCGTACCACTGTGCTAGCACCTGGCCCCATTTTGTTGACTCTAATTAACTGCCTGTGCCAGGTTAGTGAGCATGTAACTAGCTTGAAGTCTTCCTAGATCCCCACCATCTCCCAGATAGTCGGGAGAAGCGTCTTCTAGTAGAAGGGTCAGAGGAAGGGTGCAGAGAGGCCTTCCCCTGTGTGAACCACATTGCTAAACACAGCAGAAGAGAGAGTTAGGCCCACATCAATCCACAACAAAAGGGAAGCAAACTTGTTCCCAGTGCCAGAACCGTTCTCCAAAAAGGCATCCAAAGTGAAGACACCTAATGGCTAGAAGTAGAGAAAGAGCCTCGGGTTTGAAGAAACCAGGAAATATGGCTCCATCAAAAGAAAACAATAACTCCTCTCCATCTCTTGAAGCCAGGTCACAACTCTAACAGAGTATAGTTGCATGTTTCTGTTCTCATGGCCTCTTCAGGTGCCATGGCTTTCTGAGCTTAAATAAAGGGAAAATCTGGGGACAAGCAGATGGCATAACGGTTACATCGCTTGACTCTCACATAGTCTACCCAGGTTCAGGCAGGGTGCGTGTGCCTGCATGCCCAAAATCCTGGGAGGAGAGTAGAGGAGAAGGGATTTGGTGTAAGCATTCCCCTTCAGGGATGATTTCTAACTTTCTGTCTTTCTCTGGTGAGCACACGAGCCCTATAGCAAACATCTCTCTTTTAAAAAAAGGGGAAAATCTGAAAGATTCCCTGACACCTCTGCTGTTTGCCTGACCATATTTCCCTGAGACAATATGATAGATCAAAGTTCTTGAATGAGGGTGGAAAAAGAGGGAGAAATGGAAAGGAAAACAACAGAAAAAATTAATACCTCAAAATAATACTCAACCACATAGACACATCAGTTTGAGAAAATAGGGCTCATGTGAGGAAAGGGCCTTGATCTTCCTTGAAAATAAACTTACTAATTAATATAAATCCACAAGTTAAAGAACCTTTAAGCTAATTTTTAAAGTACTTATTGCAATAATATATTAGTTTACACAAACAGTAAATTTCTCCTTTAGGCTGTTAGTCCCTTTTCCTGATTCCTAAAATTAGGGCACATGCACCCAATTTTTTTTTTTTTAATTTGCTATAGGACACATGAGCTCACTAGAGAGAGATGGAGAGACAGAAAGGGTGAAAGCATTATATTGGGTCATCAGAAAAGTTATGACACAGTTTTGCATAGAAAAAACATGACATACAAACATATGTCATGATTTTCCTGACAACCTAATATATATATATTTTCTTAATTTGCTATAGGGCACATGAATTCACCAGAGAGAGAGAGACAGAGAGAAGTAGCCATGCCACAATCCCTTCGTCATTCTCCTCTCAGGATTTTGGGCATGCATGCTCACACACCTAGTTGTTTTTCAAGCTGTTGGATCTGGGATTCAAATGGCATAGTTGGCCATTTGGTATCCAGTTGCCTCAACCATGCCACCTGTCCGGTCCTAAAATTTTTAAAATGGCCTAAGAATCATAAAATCTTTATGTAATGAAAAGTATGAACAATTCACTAATATTTATTGAACACATATGGTCCGGTGGAGAACATACCAGACTCTTCCTGTTCTGAAAGAATATGTAGTCTTATGGGAAGTGTAAACACATAGACTTTGGAATAAAATTAATGTCCAGAAATGCTTATTAACTAGCTACACGATTTCCAGCAAATTATTTAATCACATTGAGTTTCTATTTTCTTTTCTCAAAAATAGGAAGTAGAAATACCTTACTCATACAGTTATTGAGAGGATTAAATAATTGAAAATACAGAGGTAGGCACTATTCCCAGAATACAACACATTAATTTGATAAATGGTATCCTTTATTACTAAATCACCAACATTTCTTTTTAAAAGTCTTTCTTAAACTTGCATTTGGTTGTGTTTTCACTGTTGTCAGACATAATCTTCTATTTTCAGCCTAGAAGGAGAATCTGAGTATTAGAATTGTTTATTTAAACACTAGTAAAAGTAGCTAAACAGCGTAAATTAATTTTCACCCCCTATCTATACTTGAAATTTTCACTTGAGTGCTTTAGGTAATAAATAATTATTTATTGTAAAAAAAGTTTGTTCTCACATTACAAACTTATTTTAAATTTCTTTTAAAATCTCAAATTCCTTACATAAAAACAAATCATTTCACTAGCACTGAAGAAACATTAATTAAATATAAATCAAGTTAAATGGAAATTCTTTGCTTTCACTCCCTCTCCTCACCCCCACAGCCATTTTTATTTCATAATATTAGAAAATAGACCATCATTTAATAATTTAAAATTAGCAAAATATGCAAATATAACACTCAATGATCTATTCTTATAAAAGAAAGAGAATGAGCCTTTCATTAACTATGATTTTATTTTTAAAGAAGCATAAAGTTACACATAAATTTCTACCAGGAACTTTTCAAACTTTTCTAGTTCCCATGTTGTATTGAACTCCTGTCTTCGTATTTTTCATTTATACTTTTCTCTCCATCAACAATTAAGTGCAACAAAAACCAATACTCAGGACAAGAGCGTAAGGCTGGGCAGGAATCCAGGCAGTAACAGGAATATTTAAGCTTATTTTCTTCATTATAGCTTGTCAAAGTGCTTTTGAGAATCAACGATTATAACAAGCAGGTACAGCTATAGTGGTCTGTCAGCTGCAGTCCTGACTCCCAGGGAAATTCCTAATTGGTTCGGTTTGTTTCCATCTTGGAGATGGGAGGGGTTTTGTCATCCCTCCTGCTCAGTATTTCACCCTGTCTTCCGGCTCCCTGACAAATGGTCAGAACTTGTAGGCTTATTCAACTATGATGAGGGGCAAGAGAGGGCCAAAAAGACAGCTGAGTCCCTCCCCTGTCCACTTCTTAATGCCTCAGTGGCTTCAT